CAGTAAAAGTCATGATGGTTCAGGGGAGGTTCTTCTACTTTGAGGCATGAGCAGTAGGAGCCAAAATGGCAAAAAACGGGGGGGCATGTCTAGCCTGGGAAAGATTGGATAGGATAAGGGCATGGAATCAGGGACAATCCAGGAAAGGGGTTGGTTAGGGAGAAGGCCCAGCACAAGCCCGTAAAGAACTAGAAAGAGGATTGTTTAGTTTGAAAGAAAGCCTACTCTATACCAAACCCAAGGAGATATAATCAAAGCTTAACAAAAGCCCATGGTTTGTTTATGAATATGTCTTAGCATATTTTCTCCCCCCTTACAGCCACAGGGGCTGAAGCATCATGCTGGAACATGGCTCAGCACCATTGAGCCTTAGTGACAGACATGCAGATTGGGAAATAAGACACAGGCAAGCACAGCCAAGAATAAACACTGTGCTGGACTACCGGTGACTGACAGGTCCAGGCAGGATTAGGAAACTGCCGACCCTACCCAGGACGAACAGACGCTTGGTTAAGATTGTGGTCAGCTTATCCAGCATACCAGAGGCTGACAAGGGGTACAAAGAACAACAGTCAGCAGAGATGGTGCATGGCGACTAGCCCCAGCCAATGACATCCCTACACCTCGACCCAGCAGCCCAGAATGACCAATCGGACATTAACACCCCAGTCACCCCACCTGTGACTCCACCCCAAGGACACAGGAGGACAGTCTTAACCTCCCTTGGTTGGCTCCCCAACCTCCCTTGGTTGGTCCCACTTTTCCCACGCTTATAAACCCTTGCTGCTTAGCTTGCTGTGCCTGTCTGGTTTCTTGAACGACTCTGGCCTAACAGAGACCTGGTTGATGGTATTGCAGTTCTGGATCCTGACCCTCCTGGTGGGCACTTGTGCTCACCAGGCCCAGGACTTGTTTTGCTGCCAGACAGAGCTGAGCCACCTGGTAGTGAGTAAGATATCAGGCACCTGGGGGTAGTCCTCTGTTTTCACTAGAATAAGGTTTACCACTAAGCCTCAAGTCTCCTATGTGTGGGTCCCCAAAATGTATTTCTTGTGATTCCACAAAAGAATCCTGTTTCCACTGGCAACACTTATATCTTTGCATAGTGGTAGCAAAATGTTTGTGGGCTGCCACCAGGATACAGGCCACAAGCAGAAAAACAGGAGAGAATATACAAAACAACTGATGAGAGCCAAGTGAAGCCCAAAGGAACAACAACTTTGACCCAGGGATGTGCCTAGTAACCTTCAGAAGAACTCACATCTTAGGCCTGGGGCTGAAGGGGCACCAATCTACTACTTCCTCAGGAAAGTAAGGACAACCAATTTTGGTATCCCCCTCCCCAAAAGGAATGACTTGACTACTCTACTAGTCACTAGTGGAGGTGCTAACAAGGCAAGTGGCAGTTTCTCTTCAAAGTCACAGGTCTCCACTGTGTCCGAGAAAGAGGGATGAGATTGAGGTAGAGAAGTCTACAAATCCCTGCATGAGGGTGGGATAAGGACAAGTGGAGGATATTGCCCAAGAGTGACATAAATGCATGAATCCTTCAGTACAACAGGGCCAGGTGAATATCAAGAAGTCGAATTAGCCACTCCTTTAAACCAAATTTCTTTATCTCAAGAGAAAAAAAGTTTCTTTCTGTCCAAGGCTAACCTCTCCATCGGCAAATCAAATCCTTTTTTCCCTTCTGAGATACAAGTCCATCAATTATCTTTTTTCCCTTTTATGTTTTATCCATCTTCTACCCTGTTGTCTGGATTATGGAAGACACCATCCCTACCTCAAAAATATTCAGATAACTTCAGATCTTGTCAGTACTGTCTCCTAAATCTCCCTCCAATGTGTTAACTGGTCTTTACTCCCATTGCCACTGTCCTAGATAAGGCTCTTATTTCTTACCTAGACCACAGTAACTCCTTACCAAGTCTTCAAATACAAATTTTGCCATTTTTTCAATTCATAGATTAGACAGTCAGATTTAGTAATTTTTAAAAATCCCACAAAGTGGTGAGGAGAATTCTGTGCTGAGAATGGAATGGTTATGTTGGTGGACTGACTATAGACTTTGTAATAGGTTGAAAATTCCAAGAGATGAGAAATAGTATGACAGTGGACTAAATGAAAGGAATCAGTATGACAGGGGAAAGGAAAAAGGGAACGAAAATAGCGGTTCTGCTAAAACAAAATAAAGTTGGGACTAAAAGACTCTGAATAATAAATAGTTTCCCCTGTTATCAGCGGAGCTTATGAGTCACCCCAAAGTGTGGAACCCATGCTTACTCTGGAAAAGTGTACTCAGTATCCTAAGGGCCAACCAAAGTGGAAGGTGGGGATCAGTAGTTTTCTGTCCCTCCCACCACGGCCACTGCCCCCCTGCCCCACCTCCAGTCCACTCCACCAACAAATGTCAAACTTCTTCAAACTACATATATCATGTGCCTTTCCACTTCCTTTCCAGAGCCCTTCCTTGCTGGATCCAACAATTTACTTTGCAAGGGGCAGGAAACAGTAATGCAGAAGGCAGAGGTAGACAGGAGCTGTAGTCACACTGGATTGATTACCTGTAGTCATCTAAACATACTGTTAGTCTAGAATAGCCCTTATATATATATTGTTTCTGCTCTGACTTACATTTCTCCCATACATTTTGGAACTCCTTTCAGTTTCAGGACAATCAACAATCTTCTTTCTCAAGAATAAGGATGAGTTAGGTGCTTCTCCTCCAACATCTCATAGTATCTTTCACATACCTCTAGGATATCTATTAAATCTATCTTCCAAATTGGATGTAACGTTCTAAAGCAGGGGTCCATCCCCAACCGGGTTGCACAAGAAGAGGTGAGCTTGAATGCAATGTACTTGAACGGTCCCGAAACCCCAGTCCATAGAAAAATTACTTTCCACGAAACTGGTCCCTTGAGCCAAAAAGGTTGAAGACTGCTGTTCTAAAGGATTGGAGGCATACTCAACTAATCTTTAAATCCTCAGCAACTAACACAACTGACTCAGAATCTAAATGATATTTGCAAATACACATTCCATTTAAAAGAATAATCAAATGCTACAAGTAAAAAAGAACCTCGAGATCCTCAAACTCAACACTCTCATTTTCAGATGACAAAACTAAGGTTCATAATGGTGAAGTGACTTAGCCAAGTCACAGAGGAAGGGAGGGGTTAAACTGGGGCTGCTGCCTTTCAGAAGACCCAAAGACAATGTCCGGTATATAAAAACACTCAGCAAGTACTGGTGGGATGAAGTCCTTTCTTTAAATTCAAAGAGTTATTAATATACACCAGAATCTTAAAATTTATAATATCAGCAATCTCAAACTTCATCAGCAGTGAATAAATAATCTTTACTAGGTAACAGGTAGAAGAGAGGGAAGAAAAATGTACAGGGTCTTAGTCATGCTAATATCCTTTGAAGTCTTCAATTACTTTTCACAGTGATGACATGCTTTCAGTACCTTGAGGCAGTTTATTGTTCTCTAAACAAACCAATTTTTGTAAGAGTTCACAGTCTATGAATGTGAGGACTGTATTTGCTGAGCAAAAAGGTAGTCTTGGTTAAGAACCAATTATTTTTCCCTTAAAATCCAGCTTGATATTTTGTTCAAATAATTCCTGGTGTGATGACGTGTTTAGTTATGGAGAAGGAACAGCTTGGTGTTAGAAAACATGGGGCTTATTTCTGGTTCTGCTGCTCTCTGCAACAAAGGACATAGTGCTTCCTTTTTTTATCTCCCTCAAAATTAGATGTGTCTTCTGTAAAAGTGATGGCACCAAGGCAGAGAGGGGCTGGCTGGCTCCTTCCATAAAACATTCTGTTCCAAAAAACATTTTCCATAAAAACACAGAATCATAAAACATTCTATGATTCTAAGTGCCAATCTTGAGGTAACTTTCTAGAAATGGTTTTATGGAGACAAATGAAAAATTGTTTTTTAAAAAAGTGCCAATAAGTAATTTAACACTTTATTGTACCAATTAAACATGCAGATATGTTGGTAAAAAAAGAAAGCAGTCAGCATAAAAGATGGACATCTTGTTTAGCTCAGAGATGCTCACATAAGGCAAGTAGAGAAATATTTGACTATAAATGCAAAAAATCTATGGATGTACAAACATAACCAATATAAAAAAAATAAAAGGAGTGAAATTCTCTTTTTAATAGATCTGGAGGTGGCACTGCCTAGGAAACTTAATTCTTAAAACAAACAAACAAAAACCACCACAAATAGTTCTATTATGCAGCCTGGTTGAGGTGCATGCTGGGAGTGAGTTGGTTTTCCTGAGACTACTTATCATTGGATTGAACATGTAATAGCTTTAAGACTTTCAATGTGAATGAAGTGTCTAGCAGAAAAAGGTAGGCTTTGATAGAGATGACCAGCAAAGGTGCTATGTGGAGTCTTTCAATAAAAAAGCAGAGCCCAGTGCACTGGGGAGTGGGCCAAGTTCATGGATGCAGAGTAATTCAGTGGAAACTGATGTGTAATTTAAAGGCAGCAGCCCTCATAGGTGTGGTTCAGTTGGTTGGCTGTCCTTCCAAGGCGAGGGATAGCCAGTTTGATTCCGGTCATGGCACATGCCTGGGTTGCGGGTTTGTTCCAGCTATAAGAGAGGCAAGCATTCCATGTTTCTGCTTCACACTGACGTTTCTTTCCCTCTCTTTTTCCCTCCCTTCCCCTCTCTCTAATAAATAAATAAATAAATAAATAAATTTTTAAAAGAATAAATTAAGGCAGCAGAGGCCTGTGCAGACTCTGGCAACATCCTCTGATAGCAATATGCCCTTAGTATTTTAATGTTACTATGCCCGTATGTCTGACAATAAAGAGAAAACGACACACAGAACAAAGATCAGATAGGCACGCAATTATTGTGCTGACGTCCTTTCCCTGTCCCAAGAAAGAAAGGTTTCTTGCATTTTCGAAGAAGAAACCCCATCTCACCTGGAACTTGCTAGAATTTTCTGAAGAAACCCCAACTCACCTGGAACTTGGTCATTCCCTCCTCTCAGGACAGACTTCCAGAAAGAGCTAGCAAAAGAGAAAAAGCCATCAAAATCAAGTCCACTTTGCAGGACTAGCCAGTCCGGCAAGACTGCAAGGAAAAGTCCCTCCGTTCCTGCTACTCTATGTAGCCCTCTCCTCTCCTGGGGTGCCTTTCCAGTCTCCCTACGTGGCACCTCGCTCACCTCTCTCTACTGGGCTCAGGCTCAAACAGGCCACACCCCCTTCCCACCAGGGTACATCCTGCTGCCCCTAGCAGCTCTAAAATATTCAAGTTGAGCAGTGGTAGCTAATTGGATCTATCGCCTTCAGGGATGGATTTTTTTGGATGTCTTCGACGCGTTCCTCGACCTGATTGGTTTTCGGGGTACAGCTCGGATGCAATATTTTAGCGAGGACCGTGCTGTGAGGACAGAAATCTCAGCCCATCACAAGGGCCCCTCTCAGTCGTCAATGTCCACCCAAAACCTTGATAAAAGGCCAGTCACTGGCGCGGAAAAGGCCAACTACGAAGCCTGCAGTCGGGGCAAGGCCGGAGCTCAGGCTAGAGGAGGGCCCATTGAGATGCAGGGCGGTCGCCGCTCCGGGGCACTGGTGCGGCCTGGGACGAACTTCCCCCGTGTGGCTGGCCTTCCCACGGCTGCCCAGACGGGCATTCGGGTCTCCAGCCCGGAGCCTCTCTCTGGAACTCCCACATCTCCACTGTCCTATACGCCTCGGGAGAGGCGCCAGCAGCCAGACGCCGCTCACTTCCCATGTGAATCTAATACCTGGTAGCGCAGAATCCCAGATTGCAACTAGCGTCTTCCCCACGCCCACAGCGAACTACAAGTCCCAGAAAGCCGAGGGAGGGTCACGTCACTCGCTGTTCACACATCCGGTGGTAGTCCCAGGACTTCCAAAGGAACTGCAAGGAGGTCCGATATTAACTGTTCCTCCAGAGTTCATTCACGTTATTACTTTTTAAATTACAAACGAGTAAAAATTATTTTAGGAATGCCCATTGCAGTGTTTTTCATTTTGTTAGTGCACTACTGGAGGGGAAGAACGTAAATATCCGTAATGTTGTCTTTACCCATAAAAACGTTCTGAACCGACCAAATGCCGACTATATGCCGCTTGACATCCTCATCTGCCTCTTGAGGTTCATTAGTTTAGCAAACACTTGAGGGCCTACTGTGCCCAGGGACTGTTCAAGACGCTTAAAGAAAAGTCACGTTGGATATTAAATACTAGAGAAGGAAACAAGCAATTGTTGATAAACGGTATAGTGTATTATAAGGTCATGTGTATTATAAGGTCATATATATTATGAAAAAAGTAGAGCTAAATCAGGGATAGAGGGATGCTAGTGCAATTTAAAATCGGAAATTTTGGAGACGAGACTGAGGAGTTGAGGAAATCAGTCACGTGCCATTCAGCAATCAACTCTTCCTAGGATTTTTTAGTTACAGGAGGGAGGACTTGGGAGAAATGGGGCTACTCCATCTGATAGGGGTTTAAGACTTGGGAAAATTTAACTTAAGGTAAATAGTCATAAATCTAGCAAGTAATGTGTATGTTAAGTTTTTGTTTCAGCAACTACAGATAAGGCCCATCCTGGCACCTAATTTTTAAGCAGTTGACCTCCTGGGTCACTGGCTGGAGATTACCTCAGTCTGAAGACTGTCTGTACCAGGAAGAAGCAAGCGACTACCCTCCCCCCCTGGAGGCAACTGTTGAATTTCAAAGGCTTTCGCAGACACCTTGTTTGCCCTCTCCCAACCCCCTTATAAAAGATCTGGCTGCTGGCCCTGGCTGGTGTTGCTCAGTGGATTGGACACTTTTGGGCTGCGAACCAAAGTGTTGCAGGTTCGATTCCCAGTCAGGGTACATGCCCGGGTTGCCGGCCATGACCCCCAGCAACTGCACATTGATGTTTCTCTCTCTCTCTCTTTCTCCCTCCCTTCCCTCTCTGAAAATAAATAAATAAAATCTTTAAAAGATCTGGCTGGGAAAGAAAGAGCAAGATGGTTTGTTAGGGTATGAACCCGCCATCTTCTCGGATTGCTGGCCATCTGAATAAAGCGCCTATAAAAAATTCAATCACTGTCATTGCTTATTGGATTTGGTAGTGACAGGCAGCCCGAACGCCAGTGTCTTTTCCAGTTACACATCATGGCTGATACCAGAAGTCCCCGTTTTCATTTTTCACCCATTCATATTGCTGGTTGCGATGGTTGATGGTCGTTGGGCCAATTCAATGGCAACAGGAATCCCCCCAGTTTGGGGTGTGGTGAACAAGGAAACTTTGTTCAATGCAAAACAGCTCATTTGTGATACAATACAGCTGTGAGGCAGCCCTGGGGCCAGGTCCCTTTCTAGCTAGACAACTCTACTCTGCTCCTTGCTAGTCTGCTTTGCCCTGTGCTGGGGACTTTTGGGAGGGGCTCTGGTGCAGATTAAGTTCAGCTGCTTCTCTTCCTCACCCTGGACCACCTGGTAAGAGCTGTGAAGTGATTTCGGGTTGCTGGGTTTGGAAGCACCTGGGAGAGGCTGTACTATGATCGGATTCTGGCTGACACCTGTGCTGGGATTGGGGCTGCTCTGCAAGGGGCACTGCGCATGCTGTAGGAAGCCAGGTGCTGCTTGTTTGGGCTCTGTGGCCCTTTGGGATATTTTAGGAATGTCTGCAGTATGGACCAAGGCTGGTTGTTTGTGTGGAAAAGCTGCTGAAATTGGTTTAGGCTTGTGCATGATTTGGGTGGGGTAGTGTCTTAGGGATTCATCAGGGTGCAGTGAGAGATGTTAGCCAGGTTGAGACTCATATTTGGTGCCTGCCTTCATCTGCAGGTGGGTGTAGGAAAGTCTCAACAAAATAGCAATGGTGACTTCCTACTCTGCTGCCCAGGCTGTGTGTAGGGTGGGCTCAACAAAGGATAATGGTGCCAGACAGCATTTCTGCCCTGCAGAAGAGAGAAGCCCCTATAACCTTCACCCTGAAGCCAGAAGATTCAGTTCTTCCCTGTATGTCCCTGGCACTTTGCTGTTCTTTTGCTGGAGCTTAGGGCTAGTGTTTATGAATGTTTGCTCAGGTTCTTTAAAAGAAAGCCTGAGTCTACTTAGTGGTCTTCAGTCTTACCCAAATGGAATCCCTGCTGATTTTTCACAACCAGAAATTGTGGGGACTCCTCTTCTTGATTCAGGTGCTCAGAGCTGGGAAGCCCAGTGTGGGGTGAAAATCCCTTGCTCCTTGATGGGGGACCCTCACACCCAAGATATCCATCCTAATCCTTAACTATAGCAGGAGGGATTGGGACCAGCTTGTTTCCTCTCTCTGCCCTTGCCAGTCTTGAAGTTGCTTTTTTATATTTTTGGAGGAATTCTGTTCAGCTGGCATATAGGTGCTTCTCAGGAGTCGCTGTTCTATAATTTAGTTGTAATTTTGATGTGGTCATGTTAAGAGGCAAGCACTGTATCTCCCCATTCCACCATCTTGACAGAAAGTCCTCATCATTCATTTTTTTTAAATTACATAAATATTGGGTTGGTCCAAAAAGTTCATTTAGTTTTTGCTGCATAATGGCTCTAGTAGTGCTTGGTTATCTTGATCTTCATTCAAGACAATTTTGTTAGATTGTATCATGACAGTGGTCATATCAGTGTTCATTAAAAGAAAACATCAAAATTGGTGAATTCCTGTGCAGCCATTTTAATACTGGAGATGGAAGAAGATATATGTTTTTTGGTATATTATGCTTTATTTCAAGAAAGGTAAAAATGCAACTGAAACACACAAAAAAGATTTGTGTACTGTACAGAGAAGGTGCTGACTGATTGGATGTGTCAAAAGTGGTTTGCAAAGTTTCTTGGTACTTTTGACATTTTGGCCAAGTGACTCTTTGCTGTGGGGGTGTCTTATGCATTGGAATATGTTTAGCAGCACCCCTGGTCTCTACCCATTAGAAGCCAAAAGCAGGAGATAGCTGACATACTGAAAATATCCAAATCAATAAAGTTATTGGTAAAAATGAATAATGTACCTTTTATTTTATGGAAAAAACCAGACACACCTTTGGCCAACCCAATATTTACCATGAAAATTTATATAGATGACTAAGGTTAATAAAAAAGGAAACTCTTCCTCAGAACGAATTTCTTCTAATATCCTTCAAGTTTCATCCACTAGAGGTAAAAAAAAAATTAAGAGTGGATTATCCTTCCAAATTTCTTTGTTTGTCTTATATGTGTAGGAGGAAGACAATAGTATTGTTAGAGGATTGTACGTTCATTATTGACTACAAATCTGGTCTCAGTGATAAGGACAGTCATGTCCTTTCTAGGTAACCTCAACCCTGAGATACTGCTACTTTTGTCAAAAAGGGCGTGAATAGCATGGTGTCTCCCAGGAAGGAGTTAGTTTAGTAGAGGGCATATTAGGCTTAGGATTCTCAAAAAATTGCAGTTTTCTGCTCTTTGGCTATAGGCAAGTTATCTCAGTACTGGAGGAATGAAGTAAATCACAGTGCAGACTTCAAATCTTTGAAGGCTTAAAAAGGAAACTTCTTTTTCATAGGTTTTTTTTAAAGATTCTATTTATTTATTTATTTACTTTTTAGAAGGGAAGGGAAGGAGAAAGAGAGCGAGAGAAACATCAATGTGTGGTTGCCTCTCGTGCACCCCCTACTGGGGACCTGGCTCACAACTGAGGCATGTGCCCTGACTGGGATTTGAACCCATGGCCCTTTGCCTTGCAGGCCGGCACTCAATCCACTGAGCCATACAAGCCAGGGCAAGGAACATTCTTTTATAAAGAAAGGCTAGAACCTCTGCTATGGACATGACAATATGTTAGAATAGGTTTTTTGGGGGTATCATCCAGCTAACATAATATTCAATAAGAGTATTATTAAAGTAGTTAAATTCACCTCATCATTTCTACCCAGACTTAAATGTAAATGATTAATCTGAGTATGTAGAGAAGAAAAATTTTGAGATTGATAAAAGGATTTTTTAAAAAGGCTGATGCTGTCAATTAAAAATATAAAGTCTGTATCTGCTACACACAGAACACTATCTAAGTGTGTACTAGATTAATGAAAGTACCTTGGGAAATTAGGTCAAAATAAACTGACATAAATTATAAAATAAACATCATCATGATGAGGATAAATAAGACATTTATTTTTCATACTCATTTGGAAAAAAGAAAAGTCAGTTTGTCCTACCCAGTGATGGTCTTTCTGAGAGTCTCCTTTCAGTCCATAGAATTGGATAGGCTGCTTGATCTCAGCTGATTTCGTACTCTTAATTCATAGAGTTCTCTTTGAAGAATGTGGTTAAAGGGTGAGCCTTTGTGAGCAGGTTCGCTGGTGCACTGCCAAACTTCCTCTCTGAGTGAAGCTTTTCCCACATTGGCCACATAGATATGGTGTCTCTCCTGTGTGGATTTTGCCATGTAGGATACAATTTCCCCTGGTATGGAAACTCTTCCTGCATTGTACGCAGGCATATGGTTTCAGGCCTGTGTGGACTCTGATGTGAACAATTAAGCTTCCTTTCTGACTGAAGGCTTTTCCACACTGATCACATCTATAGGGCTTCTCACCACTATGAACTCTTCTATGAACAGCAAGGTTACTCTGGTTCCTGAAACTTCTCTGACAAATAGCACATTCATAGGGTTTCTGTCCAGTGTGGAGTCTTTCATGAACAGCCAGACTACCTCGTTGACTAAAGCTTTTCCCACACTCCTTGCACTGATAGGGCTTCTCTCCTGTGTGTATTCGCTGATGTGTAACAAGATTGCCTTTGGCCCTGAAGCTTTTTCCACAATGGGTACACTCAAAGGGCTTTTGACCAGTGTGGATTCTCTCATGTAATGTTAGACTACCCTTTTGCCTGAAGGATTTTCCACATTCCTGGCACTCATAGACCCTCTGTTTCACTCCAGGTGGATCTTCCTGTAGTGTCTTAAAATCTGGGGATTTTTGTTCCAGCTTCTCTCTTCTGAAAGAATTCTGGAAATCCAAGCTTGAGGATCCTGTGGCCTCAGAGTGATCATATTTGTTGTGGGCCTCTGTCATCACATCTAGTAAAATGAGAGGGAAGTCATGTAAAATGTACCAATATGCTGAGTGAGAATAGGGAAAAAATAAACAATGCTTTGTTGAGTGTTTATTATATGCCAGACATAATACAGTGAATTTTGCATAAATAACTTAACCCTAAAAACAATCTCATGAGATTGCTATAGATAAGGAAATGAAAGCATAGGGAGGTTGTCAAAGGTCATGCAGTAGATAGGCATAGAGTTGGGATTCAAACACAGGCGTGCTCCACAGCAGTGTACTGCCTCTACATTGTTTAATTTAGCCTCCCAAATAATCTTGTGAGGTAGACATAAATATCTCCAGACTCAGAAAAATTAAGAAAACTACACAGGATCACACAGAGACTCAGTGCAATTTTATCTAACTTCAATTATGTGAGGATCCAGGTTGTGTAGGGCCCAAATCTTTAACATTTTGGAGGCACTCCATTACAAAAAAGTTATAAAAGTAGGAACAGGACTTTGCAGAGACCAATGCAAGAGAGGAATCCTGAAACTTAGATTTCATTAAACTCACGAGAAATTCTCTTCTGTACTAGTCTGCTTTTCTGACAGTGGAGTAAACTCCATGATGTCAGAAAATGTGTAGTAGAATCCTGAGCACTTTACACCTATTATCTCTCATTCCTACTAGCCGTGAGGGTAGAGCTTATTGTCCTGTTTTACAGATGAAGACCCTGCAGTACAAGGAAATTAAATGACTTGTCTGATACTACAGATCAAGTCAGAACAACCATAGATTCTGATCCAAGGAATTTTTCCCTTTTAAAATTGATGCTACTTCAGTTTACTATGCTATGGTGGAACCAAAATCAATTTGTGTTTGGAAGTTATTCTCAAGCACTTCCTATGCAGTGACTGACATTATTTTCCAATATCGCCTTGTATCTGAGCTGCCTACTATCCTTTAAATGTGGCTCCAATTTATCACTATTAACAGTTTTCTTGGAGTCATCCTAAGAAGATTTTTCTAATTGTTCCTCTGCCTTACCCTTTTTTACTCAGTGACTGCACTGAGATTTAAAGCTGTTTATTCATTCTCTGACAGACTACCTCAAGTTTACCTCCATATCGGGATTGTCCTTTTGCTGTTTCTACTGTTACTTGTGACTCCAGCTTTCTGGGTTTCCCTTTATCACCTGGAAGGATGAAGTCCATCAAAGGAATATCTCCTCTGCTTCCTTACCCTGCCAACTAGTGCTAAGAACAGAGACAGTGATCAACTGTCCCTAAGGACAGAAACAGGACTCACTCACTGAAAAATGCTACATTCTGTGCATATCTTCCATGACAGTCCAGCAGGGTAGCTGATGGAAAGCCAAACATGTCCACTCCTGCTGTATGACCTTAATCACCACCTCTTCATATAATGCATCCACAGGCTGTTCTTGAGCACCTGAGGGAGGAAAATACCAACCAAACAAAAATGAAACAGAACAACAAAAACAGGAAAAGAGCATGAGAACTGATGAATGAAAAGATTTAAAGTCAACAGGAGCTCCAGTTTGGGGTATGAGTAAATGGAGGAACTCTGGATGGCCTGATGTAATGTCAGTCACATATAACATGTAACAGCAAAAATAGTCTTAGAGGTACCATGACCATATACAAACAAGCCCAGGAGGAGGCAGGAGGTAGAAAAGCTGAGAACACATAAACACACCTCTGTCTTTTCTGGCCAGTCTCTAAGATAACGGGCACTTCTGTTTGTTCCTTAGCCTTGGCACGTGATTAGAATCTTCCAGTTTCTTCCCCCATCTAGCCATCTGCTCTTTGAATAGCCTCCAAAGGAATTCAGAATCTATAAAAGTCAACATTCAGCCTTCATGCTTGGTTCTACAATGGAAATGGCTGTAGCTCTCCTCTCGAATTCCCCCTAAGTTATAAGGAGAGAATAAGTGATTTCATGTGCTACCTTTAAACCATTCTTAGGAGGCTCCAGATCCAGATTCTCCCCTCTTACTCTTCAATATATGAGGATAACAGTTCTAAGGGAAGTGTAAATATTTGTCAATACTTGGAAAAGGAAGAGCTACTTTGGGCTCCAAAACCAAGCCCAAGGCATTCCAATTACAGTGAGTAACTTGCCCAAATTCTCAGAGCCAGTAAGGAGTCAAGATGGGAGAAAGATTCAACTCCAAGATTTTCTGGATCTAAAGCCTATACCTCAGCACTAGATAATTCTGTAGATCCTCATCACTATAGAGCTGGTGGGAGTTTTTATAAAATAAAACAGAATAAAACAGAGTTTGGAAAGACTTTACTACTCTTCTAGATCCTGTGAATTCTCTTACCCTATATTATCTTTTTCTACACTTTTTCTTTGGAATATTCTCTTCTTACTTAAGGATCCTGATTGCTGCATTCTTATACTTGATACAGTGGTTCAGTATATAATCTTCATTTCCTTCTAATATGTCTCATCAAAATGCTAGCCACCACGCTAGTCAGGTAGCTCTCAGCTGGTTGGAGTGCTGTTCTGTACACCAAAAGGTTGTGGGTTCCATTCTTGGTCAGGGCACATACCTGGTTGGGGGTTCCATCCCTGGTTGGTGTGCACGTAGGAAGCAACTGATTGCTGTTACTCTCTCACATTGATGTGTTTCTTCTCTTCCCCTCCTCTCTCTCTTAAGTCAATAAACACATCCTCCAGTGAATATTAAAGAAAAAAATGCTGGCCACCTGATTTAATGAAATAGCAATGTGATGCTATAATTCTTTGTTTTGTTAACTGAAGCACCTGGTCTTCTTTTCAACTCCACATTCTGCTACATATTGTGGTGCCCGAAGAGGCATTTTAAATTCTTATTTGGAGGTGTCACCTCCAATTTGGAGTACAAGCTACAAAGGAATCCCCTATTAAGAGTGTCAGGATGCTACAGGACATTAATTTGGAAATTCAAGGTATTACTGCTCAACAACTGCACATCCACCAAGAGTCCATGGAAAGTACCTGGTACCTGCTGCCTGAAGTTGGACTCTGTTCCTGGGGAATCCAGCAAATAGAGCTTGGTCAGAACAAGTGGGTAGTACTTACAGCTCTATCTCTCCACATACTGTGAGATCTTCAACAAGTAACAAACTCAATTGTATCTCAGGAACTTCCTTGATTAATAAAGAGAAACTGTCTTATTTTTCTCCCTAGGTCACATGTCTGAAGAATTAATTTCCTGAATATTTTGGAGAAAGTGGCTTTATCATAGCAAATATTGCTTTTCCTAGCAGAAAAGCCATTTATCCTGTGGGAAAGCTCAGAATTAGGTCATGAGACTTGGCTTCCCACTCCTCTATGTGACCTTGTGCAAGCAACCAAACAGCGCTGACTTCACTTCCTCACTTACTAAATAGATTAATAACAGTTTCATATCAAGTAGTTCCTGGGAGAATAAGAGAATAAAATGAATGTGAAGGGTCTCTGACAATACCTGTAGGTTTAAGGTCTAAACTTCAGAGTCCCCAAAAGAAGAGAACGAGAAGAGAGGATGATTGCTGAGTCTCCGGAAGCTCCTGGGGGATAGATAATTTCAGGATAAGGAGATTCTGGGTAGGGAAGATTATATTCTCCATACAACTGAATCTGTTTTGTCCTTTCTCCCATTCATCCTCCCTAGAGAAAATGAAACTCTTCTATCCATCCTTTGAAACCCTCACCGCTGGGCCAGGATGCACCTGCCCGCTGCCCCCGCCCCCCGCCCCAACACCCGTTCACAGACTGCAGGGTGAAGGACCCTCTACACGCCCTGCCCTGCCGATCCCTGGTCTAGGAACCCCTACCCCTTGGAGTAAACTCTCCCTCGGTCCTGAACACTGCCACTCCTTGACGGCACGCCCTGCGCGCTGGACCTCAAGCCCCTCACCTCCCTCCTCCTCCGGTCCAGCGGGACCCTTCTCTCTAGCCGCAGACTTCTCCCCACACGGTTAGCTCCCTCGCAGCCGGCAGGCCTGGCCTGATCCAAGCCTTGGAAGCGATGGAGGAGCCAGGCAGCCGCCTGCCAGCGTGGCTCTGGCTCACCTGGGGGCACTGACCTGCCAGCAGCCTCACTCACCACCACCGCGCAAGCCCACACACAAACAAAGGCCACCGCGGCTTGCAGCAGCGCCCGCAGAGCCAACCAGACTACAACTCCCAGGAGGCTCTGCACAAACCCACCCTCAGGTCACAGACCCCAGCGCCCAGCTTCTCCAGAGCACTGTGGGAAATGTAGTTCCTCTGGGTGTCGCAACGCTCCTACTGAGGTGCGGACATGTCCACAGACTAGAGAGCCAGGCGGAATGGACAGCCTGGTGAAGCCATCTGCTGAGCCAGAAACAGTAATATAGTGGCCTTGCAGGGTATCATGGAAGGAAACAAAGTCTTGGGGAGAAGTTGGTTGATAAAGCCTTAGGTGCTTAGGTGTTATGTGTAGGAGTTATGTGTTGAGACCCTATGTTAAAGGTTAAGCCTCTCTTTGGAAGCTAGATCTTTGGAAATGAATCCTGTCTCCTTTACTTGCTGCAAGTAAATAAAACTGCCTTGTAACAACCACTGCTCCTTCTTGAAATGAATACCCCAAGCAGTAAACTCATTTGGGTTGGTAACAAATTTGGCAACTCCATATGGGGACTCCTTTAAAAACGCTCCCTCCCTCTTGGCCTTGTGTGGATGCTTGATGAAGAAGTTGGCGGCAGCAGTCCCTCTGGGGTTTATCCCTTGGTGGGTAGTTTCCCCTTGGTGCTGACCACCAAGATAGCTGTCTGGCCTGTGGACACCTGAACCTGTTTCATTCAGTGATTCGGAAGGGAGGCGGGTAGGTCAACCCCTGTGGTCGCTTTAATTAGCGTTGTTATTCCCGTTTTGGGCAGAGGGTATCAGAAACGTACGTAGTTTCAGTCCTGGTGCGTGCCTGTTTTCTGGTTGGTTGGGCAGGCACTGTTGCTGGGAAGCCAAATTCAGAGCCTCACCTAGGTCTAACTCTGTTCGGGGAGTTGAGCAATGCCGGCTGGGGAATCTGAGACAGGGATCCCCAAGCCCCAGAACATGGACCAGTACATTCAGTGGCCTGGTACGAACCAGGAGCAGGGTGAGCCAGGGAAGCTTCTTTTGAGTTACCACCTGAGCTCCGCCTCCTGTCACCCGTCCCTGGATGGTGGAAAAATTGTTTTCCACAGAACTTGTCCCTGGCGCCAAAAAGATTGGGGACCATTGATCTAAGACATCCTCAGGTGACAGTCTCTCTAGTCTGGTTGTGAGATGGTCTGTCCTGTAGGAGTTGGATTTTATTCTTTGTGTGGTCTTGTTTGTCTTATGTGTAGAAATGCTAGACTTGCAAAATGAAACAGGTAGAATCAACCACGTGTATTTATTTTAATAACAGAAGTCAAAAGTTTCGGCTAGGAAGCCTAGCCACACTGTGTAGGAGGAAGGTGGAAATGACACGGGGAGGTGAATTGCTTTTAGTAAGATTTTAGAGCTGCTTTAAGAGGTAATTTACTGTTCTCTGTCCATTCACCTGCAAGGATGGTTTTGAGGTCGCCAACTCTGGGCAAGTGCGCACTCATGAATTCCCACGTCAAAGTCCAATCAAGTTCAGAAGACTCCTGAGACCCCAGCTAATTTTCAGAGTAGTAGCCCATTAGCTCCCTCTCTTTAATCCAAAGCTGTGGTGTGACTTGAGGTGGGGCAGGTGGAGGTGAGACCTTGTTCTCTGCCTCCACAGGCAGGATAAGGTTCTTCTAAGTTGTGTCCTGTCCTTGAGCAGCAGCTCTGCCTCAGCCTAGGCACAGGCCTCTATGGCTGTGAGAGTCTGCCTACTGGCAGTGAAATGGGTTAACCTGGGCACTTGCCCTCCTGTGGAAGCAACAAGGTGGAGTAGCCCAGTGTTTTATCACAGGAGAGACAGGCATAGAAGTTTAGTAACAGAATACTGCACTTCTGAGTGTGAGCTGGAAGGGAGACAGGTACAGGGAGGCCACACCTCCCAGAACCTTCTTTTTTAGCAGTTTTGATCTGAATTGTGGCAGGTGAGCCAGGCTGTTAAATCAGGCAGCCTAGGAATGCCTTCTGCCTTTCACAGTCCCACCTGTCTGGAGCATGGAGGGCCAGCCTTGGGGAAACCTCAGCCCATGTTCTCTCCGAGTCCAGGAGCCAGAGGGCTGAGAGGAGCTGGGGCTTGTTAATGTAGTAGGAAGTGACTGCTGTGTGGGTGTCTGGGCCAGAGAGAAGGTGAGACTGGGCAGTGCCTCATGTGAGCAGCCCCTCATGGCTGACTCTTTACCCTACTGTTGATTACAACATGTGCTCAAAGCTGTTTCTTTTCTTCACTTTCAGTCCTTAGCTCCTAACATTTTCAATCTGGGGACAAAGGGTGGAGGAGCCAGTTGGGCCATATAGGCCTCAGGTGATCTGTTCATGTCAAGGCTTATCCCAGTGCCTACAGGGCAGTGGGTTTAGGGAACAAAGAAGTAGAGAATAACTGGTGGTTTCTTCCTGAATCTTGAGTTTCAGAGGGACTTTTAGTTTGTAGGCTGCAGCTGTGTAGCTGGCTAACTAGGGGATGGTGTCTAAAAGGATGTCTGACCATAGAGGGCCTTGTGCTGGAGCCTGAACAGTAAGGCCTGACATGTTTGGCCTTACCCTTCTCCTGTGTACACACACACACACACACACACACACACACACGAATCTGTATTTCCCAGGAGTGTCTCCTATCATGGGAATGGGGAGAGAGGGACTTTTTTTGGTGGTACATCTAAGATAGCAGCAGATGCAGAGGGCCATGTCAAGACTTCCTTCCAAGCTGTCCTCCTCTCCAGGCCCAAGTGCCTTACAAGGTATAGCTCTTTATGGCCATATGGCAAGCATGTGTGCTTCACATGCTTGGCACGTGGGATACCTATTGTGCCATCGGTGGGATACCTACTGGGTATTTTGTAGAACTGTCATATCTGGCATCTTTTCCCTCTCTTGGATTTCTGTGTTTTATCCACTGGGCTCTCCCTTTCTACATAGTCACTTCCTGCCCAGCTCCTACCTGTCTTTCAAAGTCCTGGAATGACTGAACAACTTAATAACTGATTCCTGAATAAAAAAACATGGGGTGTCCTGGATCATATGGGAAAAAACTCAGATATGACACCTTCCCCCTTCTCTCCATTGTTGGCATCTTTGTCATTATTGGTGGCTGTCACTCTGGACCACCTTGCTCATTAGATCCCCACTAGAGTGTGAGTTTACGAGTGGCAGGATCTGTCTCTTTGATTTTTCCCACATCTGCCCCACTTCTTATGACACATTTCTCCTGTTAGAGTAGTGATCTCTTTATACACTCCAGTTCTCAGGAATCCCAGAACCTAGGAGAGCTGAAGACTTTGTCAGGCAGCCAGAGAATTTCACTTTTTCAAGTCAAAGATGTACTCTGTTCACATTCAGCAGGAAGCAGTTATAAAACTGACCCTTGTTCCTGTTCCTTTAAGAAGGGGAGTGAAAAACCTCAGTGGAGGCATAGTTAGATAGGTTAAGGGTTTCAAAGTCTGGGCAGTTCTTATTACATGTTATTCTTGCTAAATGTTAAAGACTAAGTCTTTCTACAGAAGACAGAGCATTCAATATAAATCCCTTCTCTCCTTTACTTGTTGCAAGTAAATGAAGCTACTTTGTGACAATCATGTCTTAATCATTTTTAAAATTCTTGTTCAATTACAGTTGTCTTATTCCCCCCATTATTCCCCCCATCCCTACTCTCCCCCTCCCCCATTCAATCCTCACCCCCGCAGTGTCTTTGTCCAAGCGTCCGTTATACATGTTCCTAGATGACTCACTATCCCCCTACTCCACCCCCTCTGGTTACTGTCAGTTTGTTCTTTATTTCAATGTTTCTGATTATATTCTGCTTGCTTGTTTGTTTGTTGATTAGCTTCTACTTATAGGTGAGATCATATGGTATTTGTCTTTCACTGCCTGGCTTATGTCACTTAGCATAATGCTCTACAGTTCCATCTGTGCTGTTGCAAAGAGTGTGAATTCCTTCTTTCTGCTATGTAGTATTCCACTGTGTAAATGTACCACAGTTTTTTGATCTAGTCATTTACTTATGGGCACTTAGGCTGTTTCCAGAAATTTGCTCTTATAAATAATGCTGCTATAAATTGGTGTGCATATGTTTTTTTGAATTGGTGTTTCAGGATTCTTAAGGTATAATCCCAGCAGTAGAATTGACTGACCAAAAGGCAGTTCCATTTTTAATTTTTTGAGGAAATTCCATACTGTTTTCCATAGTGGCTGCAACAATCTGCATTTTCACCAACACTATACTGGGGTTCCCTTTTCTCCACAAGCTCACCAGCACTTTGTTGATTTGTTTATGATGGCCATTATGGTGAGTGTGAAGTGGTATCTCATTGTGGTTTAATTTGCATCTCTCTGATGGCTGGTGATGCTGAACATCCTTTCGTATATTTCTGGGCCTTCTGTTTGTCCCCCCCTGGAGAAGTGTCTGTTCAGATCCGTTGCCTATTTTTTAGTGGGATTGTTTGTCTTCCTGGAATGGAGATGTGTGAGTTCTTTATGTATTTTGGTGATCAAACCCTAGTCTGAAGTATCATTGGCAAATATATTTTCCCATACAGTGGGTTCCATTTTCATTTTTCTGGTGTTTTCTTTAGCTGTGAAGAATCTTATTAATTTGATGAGGTCTCAATTGTTTATTCTTTCATTATGTCCCTTGCTCTAGGGGACATATTGGTGAAAATACTGCTGCATGGAATATCTGAGATTTTCTTGCTAACATTCTCTTCTAGGACATTTATGGTGTACTGACTAATATTTAAGTCTTTTATCCATCTTGAGTTTATTTTTGTGTATTAGTTTAAGTTGGTGGTCAACTTTCATTTTTTCATATAGCAGTCCAGATCCCACAACACCATTTGTTGCAGAGGCTCCTTATGAGCACTACAAGGGAGTGCTCATAATACTATCAGCTGATTTCTCAAAAGAAACCTTGCAATCAAGAACTAGCTGGAAAGAAGTCATGAAAGGCAAAGACCTACACCCAAGATTACTCTACCCAGCAAAGCTATCCTTTAGAATGGAAGGGCAGATAAAGTGCTTCCCAGATAAGG